CACCACCCTTGAATGATCACAGCAAGACAAATAAATCATGCCTGGGCTAGTGTCTGGAAGTGGCAAAAGAAGGAGGAGTTGTCAGGGCTGTTACGTTAATTCCAATTTGTTGTAATTTTTGGAGCGACTTTTCCTAAACTGTGATTCATTTCAGCACCAAAACACCAGATTCAAGTCACAGACTTCTGATGCTATTATGAGCATATGACTGATGGCTAGTAAAATAACTTCTTGTGATGTTTCTTTTATAAGGGCCATAAATCAAAATATTCAAAACAGTTAATTTTTAATGTGCCACTATTATCCATCTTTAGTTATAAATTTAACGTCTCCTTAGGCCCACAGATTGTAATATGACTCAAAACACGCAACGGCTGTTCAAAAGTGGAAGGTCCCCAGTATCTCATTATTTAAATCCTTAAGCTATGGTTTTAAAAGCCTGAGGATATCCGAGCAAACTTGTTTAAAGGAGTCATAAAGGAAGATAGGTAGTTTTCCTCAGAAGTCTATAAAATTTATTATAACATATTAAAGTAGGACTATATATTAAATAATTTTCAGAAGACGTTTGTTTTCTGGGGTCCATGGTGCTTGGGGAAATTCACGAACGAATAAAGGGGGTAGGGGCTTAACACCGCCGTCTCCATTCGCCTTGAACAAAGCAAGTTTCTCTAAGAGACCTGGCACCAATTCTACCCTGAGGATGATAACACAGGTCCTATCTGAGGGGATGGCAGGGTGGATATCATGAATCTTGCAAAAGAACAATAAAAATCTTTATTATTCAGGAGGAGACATGAATACAGCCCAGCATCCTAACACTTAATGATGGCAGAAGAAAGAGCTTCATGGAAGAGCCTCAAGTAGGACCTGCTCTTCTCAAGGCAACCCCCAGCCTCTTAGAGCCTTCTTTTGCCTACCCATTTCTGCATGCTGTGGGCACGTTTCACATACTTACTTTTTAACATTATAAAACCTTTATTTCTTATTTAATGTTGTTGTAGGTCAAGTGACATGTGTATTAAGCTTTTCTGCAAGAAAAATGTGATGTTTCCCTTAAAGCTTTTTTTAGATAGGGAGAGAGTCTCTCAGATTGGACCTTAGGGATTTTTCTGGTTTCCCCACCTCTTCACACTGACAAGCTTCCCTCTGGAACCACTCTGCTTTTGGAAGAGTTGGTTCTGGTGTTGTTTTCCCCTTTGCCCAGGAAAGTGAGAAGAGAGGAGATAGATAGTCTGATGTGACTGGGAAACAGGTTCTCCTCGCAGCAAATGGATCCAGGTATCTGAAAATCAACCCCTGTGTTAATTCTCCACAGGACCAGAGAAAACCATCTGAGGCACTGGTGGGACCTGCAAGAGGTTTAACTAAGCAGTGAAATGAACCAATGAAATTGTCAGTTGTGGGCAAACCGCACCAGTTATTGTTTTAAAATTTGCCTGAAGCACCACTATCATGCAATACGAAGGCAAGGCTTGGGGAAGGGCACACCTGCTAAGTTATCCCCCCAAATTGCCTCTCTAATCACAGACTTGTGACATTTCATATTTGATCCAGAAAAAGAACTGCACATTGAGTACTTTTTGACCATAAAAAATCACCACAGCACACAATTGACCACATTCTTTGTTCTGAACAAAATGGCATATACAGTGTCATAAGTTCAACAGCATATTCTATGGAACCACAGGTATATTCAACTCTGGGGAGTTTACGACTTGTTAAACAACCTGCAGTATCCCGAAGAGGTGTGATGCACAGCAGCAAGTCTCTAGAGTTCAACATTCCATTTATAGCCTTGTGGTAATTATATGTGCCACTATTCAATTATAATGCAGATAACACCGAAATAAAGGATAGGTTCTTAATGGGTAAAAATCAGACTTCAAAAGAGCAAAACCCTCTGAAAACAATGCAATGCATTAAATTTATAATGCAAAGCTCCGTAGAAGCACAACTGTAAAAAAAAAAAAAAAAAAAAAGCAACAGATAGAAGGCCACTAACCTGCCAATACTGATATTTCTATTCTAGTTCATTTAAAGAGATACAGTTATCCGTTCACCATTACTATGCCTTGATCCTTGTGTTTTCTTCAAAACTGCCATAGAAGAGACAGTATAATCCTTTAAATGGGCTTCTCAGAGATGACAGTTTCAGCTCCACGAAGATACACACTTTTATTTTCCTTATTCCTTGCCAAACATTTGACACAACCAGAAGGACATGAGAGTCACACCACACTGGCATATCTGGTAAAAGCAAGTAGTTGGCTGAAAACCGCTACTGGAGAATTGTGACAATTTCTGAGTCCACAATCATGCCTTTAAAAAGTGAGTATAAATCCTAGCAAGGGCACAGTTTACATCTTAAATAACACAGAAACATTTGAATCGTGCTCAACCCAGCCCCAACACGGCAGAGCAATAATGTGGTTGCGGGAAGGGGTAGCAGGAAGGAGGGGGCTCTTGGGCGATGGTCACAGAACACAGAAGCAGACACGGGGCACGGTCACAAACATCAGCGAACACAATTGAGCACACATACAATACAACACCAGAATGCAATTTGTAAAAGAAAAATGATATAAAAGATGGTTTCTCACCCCTCAAAACAAAACTGGAACTTTGGTTTACAGGCCCGGCTATGCCCATATGCCCTCCTCGTCATCCTGTGGCCGGCCCGGGTAGGGAGGTGCACGGAGAGGAGAGGAGGGGAGCACCAGAATGAAAGAAGAGAAGGTTAGTTACACCGTGATGCACTGGAAAGGCACACTGATCTTCACTTTGTTTTTTAATCTTAAAGAGGGAGGGAAAAAAAATCTATAGTAACTTAAGCTCCACATCACTGACTTGTCAAATACATAACTGAGTTTTGTATCTATGGCAACCCCCACACAAAAACATTCCACCCACCCAGCTCTGACTCTGTGTCAAGATTGGATTAGAAGATTAAAATTAGTCTACATTAGCAGACGATTATATTTTTGGAAAGCATGCAATCTGAATTGCATATGCCTAAGGAGTAGATTAAACCTTTTAAGTAAGCAGAGAAGTAATTATAGTAATCAAATACCCTTAATTTCTCTTAAGCTTAGAGTATCAATAAAGGCTGAAGAAGAATTAAAAAAAAAAACAACACAACTCCATCTACTTGGGTGGAACAAACTTTTGTAGCATGCGATAATTCACATCAGTTATTTCACAAAGGCTCAGACATGCTGTGATCTTCTCGATTTGTCAGGTTCTACTTTGCTCTCAGCATAAAAGAGGATGTGCACGCCATGGAATGATTATACGTTTGCAATCAAATAAGTTTCAAAGAGAAGAGAGTAAACTTTCAATTCAGTAGAATGCTTGTAGAAAGAGAATTTTGTTTAACTTAGAATTGTGCTCAACTATGGATAAACTGAAACTTATTTGCTCTGTATTCTTGTTGTTGAAAATGTTTCCAGAATGGCTCTGGCCACTTTCCTCACTTAGTGAAGTGGCCAATAGGCAGAGAAATTGAATCTTTGAAGACAGAAGTAAATCTACCATCCTGAGGTCCTGTTCTGAACAAGAATTCTCACTTTTTACTACAAGGATTGAAACAAAGTGTAGAAGACTGAGTGGTTCATTCATATCCTGATCTCACACATAATTTGGGAGCTGTGTCTTTTAATAAATCCCCAATGAAACTAGGTTTTGCCATGGTTTGCTTCTTTGTTTTGAAAACCAGGAACAGGAAACAGAATAACTTGGATCATTTTCTCACCATTTGGATTCTTATTGCATAAGTTGTTGTAATATTTGTTTGAATCATATAAAAATGCTAATATTTCACCATTTTGATCTAGAAAAACAGCAATTTCATACAGTTCAATCGAATCTCGCCAATAGGCTCAGGTAATTTTCATCTATTCAAGCATTCAGATCTGTGGTCTTTGAAGTGAGTTTTCATATAATTTGTTTCCTTTTATTTCTGTGTATTTTATTTTGCACACTTGAAAATATTATTCTGAGAAGAGAACCAGAGCTTACCAGACTGCAAAGGGGATCTATGGCCCACAAAGGGTTAACAATCCCCAACTGATTTGAGTCCACCAAGTGATTTGCCCTGAGTACAAAGTGGACAGCTCAGTGTGAACTTGCATTGACAGTTTAGATAGGAATATTCTAGCAAAAAAATAAGGTACAATTGATCATTTTAAATGGGTCTTCTCATGTATAATTTATCTGTGTTTATTAACCATTACAATTGATCATTTTAAATGGGTCTTCTCATGTATAACTTATCTGTGTTTATTAACCACTACATAATCTAGCAATTGCTCCTGGCAATAAACTTCTCTTTTCCCTACCTAACTTGAGAAATATGCATTTTTACATTCATTAAACTTCCTCTCAGTTCCTGGAGAAAAAGAAAAGTTAATGTTCCTTTTTATGCTAATGAAGAAGGAAAGTCTACAGCATGGGACTCTAGGGCACCCACAAATGGGTTTCCAGGGGTCTAGCCATCCCTTGAAATTCAAAGCAGAATGTTGTGGGTATGTGTGTAGTATATTTCTCTGGATGGAAGCCCTAGCTTTCATTACAAGGTTTTTGATCCCCAAAGTCACAGCCGTAGGAAAACTCCAGGCACAGAGCGATGCTATGATTTGCCAAAGTCACAAAACAAAATAAGTTTTCCCTAAAATGCAGCCCACAGCCCCTGCTGACCGCTTCTAAATGGCTGTAAAATCACTTTCCTTGCAGAGCACTTTATTTCATTTTGCATTTAAAACCCAACAACATGTATATATTTATAGTTTTTTTCAAATCCACTCATAGAGGGTTTTAAATTTTGAAGAAGAAAGAAAAAAAGAAAGCCACTGCCACCAAAATCTACCGCTATTTTCTTAACAGTGAAATGTGGTCTAATGCAAATGACTTTTAGCAAATTAAATATATTAAAAAGTGGTAATTAATTATGATTGAAACAGACAGGAGTTGTAGGTTGAAAATATACACTGCCAATATCACTACTGTGCCTCGTCCACCATAGGATTAAAAAGGAGCTCCCAGATGTCCAGGGTTATTAAAAACCAGATGTTGAGATCGACGTCTTGTATGCTGGTGAATAAAGAAATATGACAGTCCAATATAAACTTTGCTAACATTTAACATGGCAGAAATGTGGATAAATTCCTTTAGTGAACTTGTAATATTATGCATTTTTTTCAGGTTTTTTGTTTCTAAAGTTTAAAGTTTTAAACAGAAAATAGAAAGGGAGGTGGTGGCCATTTCTGGTCTCTCTAATCTTCAAAGCTTAAACATGAATTGACCCTAATCACCAAGTGATCTGGGTCAGAGTGAGTGTCCGCTTGGGGAATAAAAAACAAAAATGCAGGAGCTAATCAGAGGGGGAGCTCCAAGTATTTCCAAACGTTCACAGCTGTCTGACTCCTGCACTGCTTACAACTTTGTATGCAAATATCAATTTGTTCAGCAATCTTACTGCACAGAAATGTAAATTTGGGGGCCAAAAAATAAGAAACAGATAAATGTCACTTGATCCTTAGCTTCATGCCAAGTTATTTAGAAATTCTTGGGCCTTTCAAAATGCATCTATCAGGTCTGGGGGAGTCTGTTTCCTTGTTTTTTTGTTTCCAAGTCTACTTTGCAGTGGCTTTTCTGGATATTGCCTGGTGTTACCTCCCTTGTATGTCCTTCTTTTTTAAATAATTTTTTATTGTTATGTTAATCACCATACATTACATCATTAGTTTCTTGTATGTCCTTCTTGAGTGATTGCTGTGCCAGGAGTTGCCAAAATATCTGGATGGGGAAGAAAGCCTCTACTCTATCCGTCATTCACATGCTTTTTTTCCACAGCATCTGGGGATGGGAACATCCAAGGTGGGCTGAAGCCCAGAGCACAGTGACCACAAAACAGCAAATTTTGAAGAGCAGGGAGGCTTAGGTATCAAATAACCTCTGGATGAATCTATAGCTCCAGAGATTATATGAGGCCCTGATGGAAATCCTGCAGTCCCAGATGCTAGGCCCTAATGGGATTCTCAAAACACTAAGATAAAACAAAATTCCTCACCACATGGGCCACTCACAGGGCTATGCTGATGACAAGATCTAAGGGCAAAGGGATGAGGCATCACTGACAAGATGGGTGGGGCGTTTGTTAGCCCCAGCAAAGAAGCTCTGGGAAGGAACTCCATAATATGGCATGATAAATGGCCCAGTGTAAACTTTTAATTGGTCTTTACTTTCAAGTATTATCTATAGTCAGCTGGCAAGCCCCAGCTCATCACTGGATTTTTTTTTTTTTTTCAAAAGCACCTGCAATTCTCTTTGAGTTAACAGCCAGGTTTTTTCTTGAAATTGGAGGACTAGGTTCCTAATGGGGACCTTAATATCACACCTGTCCTAGCTCAAAATGAGAATGAAATGATGGAAGCATCACCTTCAAATCAGCCCACTGCCTTTGTGAGAATTCAGCTAGCTGTCTCTGTGAGAGTTCACCCTGGCTTCCTTGGGGGAAGGGATGCAAAGAGATTGTCCTGGTTATAACAGGGTCTGATATGGACAGTCACCAGACTTCCCCCTACCCCCACTTCAGTCCATACCTTCTCTGACACTTTCTGGAAACATCAAGCTCTAGGACTCTGCTAACTTTGGCTGCACAAGTCCTGGAAGTGGGACTATAGTATGGGATTTATGATGTGCCCTGTGTCTGGGTTCAACCAAAGCAGCTTGTCTTGGCATTTCCAACTGCAGGCTTGGCCAGAGTTGGGGAAAACAAACACATGTACAAAGGAAAAAAAAATGGGTATGAATCTGGAAAACGGGCACCTAGCCTTGTCAGGGCACTAGTAAGTTTACTCTCAGGGTCAAGTCCAAATCTTCCCTCTGGAGACCTTCCATCCCTGCTTTTCACCTCCTCTGCCTCCTATAATGCTTAGCCCGCAGATGGATGTCTCTGTTCAGGTGATGAGGTCAGGAATGTCCGTAAACTCTTCCACGATGTGTATTAGTTACAGCCTGTGGGTCCATTTGCAGACAAGTTCCCCCCAAAGAAGAAGAAAGTCCTATCTAGGTTCAAATACCTTCTTTGTACCCTGTTGAAATATAAATGTTAGCTTATTTCTGACCTGGGCTAGAGAAGATCCAGCGGGTATTAGCACCTGTGCAAGGTTAGAGAGCATGACAGCTTTCTGTGTCTCTTTACCGAGTCTCACCGTTGCCCCACGACACAGGTGTTGGGAGGCTCTTTGTGCAGATATAGCAAGAAGGCGCAGGAAGAAAGATCAGGTAGCTCACCAAAGTACACCTGGCCTAGGAGCTGTGGAGTCAGGGTTAAATTCCAGTCTATCGGACCACAAAGGTATACCCTTCTGACATGTGAACTCTGAAGCCACAGAAAGAAGAGCTCATGTTGACCCTGAAGACATTTGTCAGTTCTGCTTTTCTCAGCTCTGAAGCACTTTGGACTTGGCACTGTCTTCTTTCCAAGCTGTTGAAGGTCCTCGTTGGAGTTGGATGGGACAAGTTAGGTTTGGTCTATCTGGCTCTTGGAAGAAAGAGAACCTCACATGCAAACAGTACCTGCCCTTATGTGGGCATATATCAGCAGCACCCCAACAAATTTCATGGTCCCTGAGGGAAAAGGCAGAGCCTTCACTCACTTCACACTGCCTCACAATGCCTCAGATGTGGGAATTTAACAAATCATTTCCAAATGAGTAAGTATATAGAATCAGTTCTTACTTTTCTGAATGACTCAACTCCTCTGAGACAGAAGGCTGCCTGGATTCCAGAGTTCCTTAGGGTTGCCAAGATTGTGTTTACTTGTTTCTCCTAAAAATGGCTCCCCACTTTGCGCTGCACCAGCCACTTCCCTGGTTTATTCTTCTAACCCTAGTTGGTGAAAGCTGAATGTCACTGGCTGAGGGGGACCTCGACAGGAGATGTTCGTATTTTAAAAAAAACACTGGGGTGTTTCTCAAGGAAGAGGTAGAGACTGGAAGTCTGTGCAGTCTGGGTTGATTCTTCTCAGGAAGTTCAACTCACAGGGCCTGAGGCTGGGCAATCATCTGAGTCCTTTGCCAAACCACTGAGAATATAACAGAGGTGTGTGTTGGGGGGGGCGGGGGGAGTGATTCTCCTTCACGTCTAATGAAGTATCTTCAGGAACTTTCTTGATTTTGGAGGGGGGCCTTCATCATGGGGCAACTTGAAAAAAGTAGTTTTCTATTTCCTTCAAGCAAAAGTAATTCTAACAAACCAGTCTTTGGTGCATGGCACCAGATCTCTCAGCTGAAAGATGCAAGATACCCAGCTGTAGATGGAAATGCTGGAATGCTCTACGTTGGCCAACAATATTGTTTCAGAGCCCAAAGTCAACATCTGTTAAAAGCTGAGCCATTGCCAGATAGTCATAAAAAAGGGGTGAGGGTGGAGACAGGCTTTATATTTGCTCCCTCATCCATCAGTCATTAACACTTGGCTTTGTTAAATACAGTGAAAACTGTGTTTTTAACATGACTCTGGATCTGCCATTTTCTGGCTAGTGGGCAAACAAATCCCCTAGCCTCTTGACTCATCACTTCCTCAGCTGTCTTAAAAAGAAAATGGGATCATATCCTGACCCCAAAACTTCATAGGGTGCTGACTAAATTAAATTGGAGAATGTAAATTAAGCCACTTTGTAGATATTACAAACATATACAAATATAACTAGGCACACCACCCCTGTTGGTAGCATCTAATAGTTTGCTACTATTGTAACAAATTATCTGACATTGCACTAAGCCCAAAGGCAAAAGGGTATGTGTAAAAAGGACCCAATAGTGTATAAAATTTCATCCTTAGACATATTAGCATCTCTGGGTTGTTCCCAGCTGGACGTTATTCAGATCATTCATATAGAGACGCTGAACCAATTTTTAAAGAGCTATTAAAGTGTACATAAGATAGTTTCAGAATTGGTGTGTGAGCGGTGTACGTTGAAAAGATGTTTCCAGTTCTTTTCCCTGTGCTGCTCCGTTATCTTCAGGGTGCTGCAAGTGCCTGGTGTGTGCAAGTCAAACATGATCCTTATGACATCAGTTCAAAAAAAAAAAAAAAAAAAGAGCAGTGGTGTTTAGCAGCAGAAAATGGATCTCTCTGCTTTCAGATGTTTCAAGGTTGGCCACCCCCTTTCCAAGGGGGAGCCGATGTGCTGCCTCTTAGACAAATGTGACTAGATTAAAGCGGCAAGTTGAAAAGGAATCAACCCTCCAATGTTGCCAAGATGAGTTACATCTACAAGCTGGGGAGTGCAGGCTGTGTCTGAAAAACCCTTGTTGACTCAAAAGATACTGCAACAAATCTTTTAATGAAACCCTAATACTGCAAACAAGGTTTAAAACTAAGGAATCAGTAAAAGGGGGGACAAAACCTTGACCCAAAATAGAGTAAGACTGAAATCTTCAACAGGCTCAAAGCTTCTGTAAGGCAAAAATCCTTTTCTACCAGGAGGATCCTGCCGCATTAAGCAGCTCTGCCTTTTTCCCATGCATGAAGACCCTACCTGGCAGGGTTTATCAGACCCTGCCCTCATGTGCTTACATGTCAGGAATTAACATCACACCCAGATTAAAGAGCTTTGGTAACAACCTGCTCATCTGCAAAACCAGCTTCCCAGTGGCTGTCACCCCACCTCCCTTGCTCTCCTATGGCTCCTGATGGTTGGGTGAGCTCACAACTGCTGGTAGGGGAAGAAGAGTTAAACACTTCCCCAGGAACAGTTCAGACGTTTGTCCTCATTTCCTTCTTTACCTGTGGCCTCACAGGGAGCCCTGGCAGGGTCATTCCAGAGCTGCTGCTCTTAAAAACAAGCAAACAGATAAACTGCCACCTTTGTTTCCCAATGGTGAGAAAGCCCGCATTCCTTGTGTTTCAGTAGCTTCGGGGATTTTTAATAGTCTTTGAGGGATAAAGAAAAGTGACATCTGAGCTATCTTTCTATTTCATCTACTTTTAAAAATCTGTTGTTGTTTTTTTTTTTTTTAAATTTAAACACAGCATCTTCCAATCCACTTGCAATAAAAGGAGTATCAGCAAAGAGGCAAGTAATCACAAGAAAAAAAGAATTTGTAACTGTGTGTGGTGGTGGATGTTAACTAAACGTATTCTGCTAATCATTTTGCAATATATACAGGTATCAAATTATTATATTATGTGCCTAAAACTAATATAATGTTACATGTGTTATATCTCAATTTTTAATTTCTAATTATCTATTTCAAAAAAGGAAAGAGACAAAGGGCTCGCAAAATTTATTTCAAAATGCATCCCAGGATATCTTTGGCTCTGATTGTGAGAGGACCAGCCCAACAGTGGGAACAGCTGAAATCTCTGAACCCTTCTCCCATCCAATCAACATCAGCCCAACAGAAGACTTCTTCATGGGTTTTTAAGTTTGAAGCCTTCATCCCTACATGAAGCCAAAACCCAAGGCCTCGTCCAAGAAGTGGGCCATGAAATTAGGTTTGCAGTGTAAAAAACTTGATCGTTTCTTACTCAGGCCAGCTTCAGACATACAAGCTTGGATGGGAAACTGATATTAAAAACTGAAGACGTGTAACTTTTCTTATTAGGTTACTGTCATGGGGACTCAAAATTTCTGCTTTGCTCTGTTGTTCTGTAACTATATTTTAGTAAGCTCTGATACATGGTAGTTAATTTTTCTTCTATGTAGGAAACATGAAAACGTATTTACACACACATGTATATATGTATATATAATGTATATTCAAACATGTACTCAGGGGAAGTTAAGGAGAGAAATTTCCAGTTAAACATGATCTTGAGAAAATCTTCCATATGTGGAAAAGTCCTCAGTTCGTCTGACATATAGCGATACATACATATATACACACAGGACACTATGTATACATTTATCCCACGTTCATTTAACCTCAAAACATAAAATAAATTCTTTTTTTTTTTTCCTCACTAAGCAAAAGCTAGGAATAACAACTCTATATACAGAATCCATCTTCAGAGGGCAATGGAGCAAGTTAAACCCCTTGTCTGTTTGTTAGAATTCAAAGGGCTGCACTTTGGCTAATCTGTTGGTGAAAGTACAAGGCAAGCAGGGCATCAATCACAAACCCTGTCCACCATTTCAGAGAGGGGCTGTGGGCAAGTGGGGGATCCAAGGGCCTTGAGTTGGCTTTCTGAGAAGTAACGGGGCCTGGGGAGCGGTTGCTGTGACAGCTTCATTCTCCTGGTGGACAAGGAGACTCTACCAACTCCTTGTTGACCAAACATAAAATGCAGGCCACTGGAAGAAGGAGAAGGGGAAGGAGGAGAGCAGGAGACTTTTACCTCACAGATCTGGGGCTAAGAAACACCTGGGGTTCGGAAATGTTGTCACTGGCCTCCGGCCACCACCTCAGTGAGGAACTAATTGTAGGGGTGGCTGGATATTCCCCTGCTATGGGAAGGCTCTGCAGGACGCTGACTAGTTCTACCTGAGAGCAGGTACCTAAGGCTCAGGTGTGTGTAGCATGGACAGAGGTGGGAGGACAGGAGGGTAAGAACCCCATTTTTATTTTGAGCTAACTCTACTCACAGCTTTTTTGTCTGTAAGAAGAGGGAAGAGGGGAGATGTTTGGGGACCAGAAATCTCAAAAGTAAGGTAGCAAGGGTTGTAACCTCTGTGAAGCAGAGCATAGGTGACAGTCAACATCGGTGGGATGCCTGAGATCATTTCGTGATGTCTTAAAACGCAATCGTATATCTGTCCCATAGACATAGCTCAAAAAGAAGGCCACATCTAGGTTCTTTAGTGACCAAGTTATTTGATGGCTTATGGGAAAATGACACGTGTCTCAAGTAAAATTCAACCGGCACTTTCAGCAGAAAGTCAAAGTGGACATTCAGTGCTCTGAAATGTATCTAGTCACACAAACTCCAGTCTTAGCTGAGAGCCAACATGTGCCAGGACTGCACCGTAACTGGGAGCAACAGAGGAAAACCCAAGTTCAGTATTTACATCTGCAGACAAATTCTGGAAATTGCCAAGTGGAGTGAGCAACATTTAGGACTAAGGCAATCAAGTTTTCTGGGAATAGATTAACAGAGCGGACACCCTAAAGTTAAGGATGCAAAATGGAAGACCCAGCTTCTGCCCCAGGAAGGTCACTACCTTAAAGTACGCCCCAAGCCCTGGCAGATCTGATAGCAGCTCCTGGCCCAAGGAAGCATTCTCTGCTTTGCTCTGGGATCCTGGCTTGTCCCAGGCCCTGGATGTGCAGACACTCATATGTGAGTGAGCAAGGGGCTGCGGGTCCC